GATGAGTGTCTTTTTCAGTATTTCGGAACTGTGGAAAAAAGAGCTCTGTTACTTAAAAATTTGAAATCCTGATAAACATAATTTTACTTGCTCCCAACAACCTTTGGTGGTATTCCTGTTTTTATCATTGAACGCTGTTGAAAGCTGATGGAGCAGTGTCATCCTGGAGGTGTGGCCAGAGTGCCACCATGTCTGATCTGACGCTGTTGTTATCCCATTCACAATTGCAACTTGGGAGTTAAGCAGGGAAGCCCTCTGAGCAGTTCAGAATACGTAGTGCATGTATAGGGTACGTGCTAGCGTGTATTTACGTTTCTTCTAAGTGTGTGCCTAGGACCTCTTGTTTTTGATCTGGAGGCCACTTGAATTAAGGACATTTGTTCCGGGGTTCTATTCATAAGAAATGACAAGCTGGAAAGTAGAAATAGAGGTGGCCTGGAGAAGCTGGCATGCCTGACTGGGTAAGATCATCAGCTTGGGAAGCACACAGGCTGTATGGCTTGACAGACATTCCTAAGATCTCTTGGCAGGACAACTGGGTTTTTGACGACTTTGGGCTAGGTCTTGTTCATGACCCAAATGTTCATCAGGTGCACACTATATACCAGGGGTTAGTGTGTGATGATAAACACATTAGGGTCCCTTCCTTGTTCACAGCCTAGGAGGGCACATGGTTTCATACACAAATATAAGTCAGTATACTAAGGGTTACATAATGAGATGAGTGGCATATAGTGGAAGCATAGGGAAAATTGAGACTTCTGCTTCTGAGTGAAAGGAATGCCTTGTGGTCATGGGGAATGAATAGGAGTTGTCCAGGTAAAATAAAAGGACATTCTAGGTAGAGAGCGAGAGAGATCTGTATATGTAAAATAGACAGATTCTGACAAATTTTAGAGAAAACTTTATACCAAATTGGTAACCCATGGCCTATTTTTTGAGGCAGAGTCTCGCTCTGTCACCCAGGCTGTAGTGCAGTGGTATGATCTTGGCTCACTGCACCCTCCACCCTCCGGGCTCAAGTGATCTTCTCATCAGTCTCCTGAGTAGCTGAAAACACAGGCGCATACCACTGTGCCTGGATATATTTTTGCATTTTTGAAAGAGATAAGATCTCACCATTCTGCCCAGGCAGGTCTCAAACTCCTGAGCTCAAGCAATCCTCCCACTTTGGCTTCCCAAAGTGCTGGAATTAAAGGCATGCACCATGGCTCCTGGCCACTCATGGCTTTTAAAAGTCATTATAGAAATCGTCAAAAATAAGGCCAGGTGCGGTGGCTCATGCCTGTAATCCCAGCCCTTTGTGAGGCCGAGGTGGGTGGGATCGCCTGAAGTCAGGAGTTCAAGACCATCCTGGCCAACATGGTGAAACCCCATCTCTACTGAAAATACAAAAAAATTAGCTGGGCGTGGTGGCACACATCTGTAATCCCAGCTACTTGGGAGGCTGAGTTAGGAGAATTGCTTGAACCCAAGAGGTAGAGACTGCAGTGAGCCGAGATCGCGCCACTACACTATAGCCTGGGCGACAGTGCAAGACTCCGTCTCCAAAAAAAAAAAAAAACCAAAAAGTGCCGGGTGTGATGGTATTCACCTGTAGTCCCAGCTACTCAGGAGGCTGAGGCAGGAGAATCGCTTGAACCCGGGAAGCGGAGACTGCAGTAAGCTGAGATCATGCCACTGTACTCTAGCCTGGGCAAGAGAGTGAGACTCCATCTTAAAAAAAAAAAAGAAATTGTCAAAAATATACAAGTAATGAGGCATATAACAAACCATCGTGTATCTACCAACCAGCTTCACAAATATCAGCACTTCGTCAATCTTGTTTCAGTAGCCCTACATTGCTTTTTTTTTTGTTGTTGTTGTTGTTGGAGCAGTTTACTTTTTAGTGTATATATTTAAGGTCTACAACCTGCTGTTTTTGCAAATAGTCATGTGCCACAACATGGCATGCATATACAATGGTGGTCCCATAAGATTATAATAGGAACTGGAAAATCCCTACTACCTAGTGACATGGTAGCCATTATAATGTTATAGTACAGTTACCTTATTTTTGAAATAAATTTAGTGTAGCCTAAGTGTACAATGTTTATATAAAGTCTACAGTAGTGTACGGTAATGTCGTAGACCTTTACATTCACTCACCTCTCCGCTCACTGACCCACCCAGAGCAACTTGCAGTCCTGCAAACTCCATTTGTGGTAAGTACTCTATGCCGCAGCATTTAAAAAAATCTTTTAGGCCTGGCGCGATGTCTCATGCCTGTAATTAGAGCGCTTTGGGAGGCTGAGACAGTCAGGTCACTTGAGATCAGGAGTTCAAGACCAGCCTGGCCAACATGGTGAAACCCTATCTCTACTAAAAATATACAAATTAGCCAGGCATGGCTGTGCGTGTCTGTAATCCCAGCTACTCAGGAGGCTGAAGCAGGAGAATTGCTTGAACCTGGGAGGCAGAGGCTGCAATGAGCCAATATCGTGCCACTGAACTCCAGCCTGAGTGACAGAGTGAGACTATCTAAAAAAAAAAATCTTTCAGATCATATTTAGATCATGTTTTTACTGTGCTTTTTCTATGGTTAGATATGTTTAAATAAACAAATACTTCCCCTTGTGCTACATTTGCCTCCAGTATTCAGGATAGTAACATGCTCTAGTATATAGCCCAGGCTTATAGATTTGTGTAAGTACACTCTCACATTCACACAGTGATGCTGACGCTGAATCCCGCACTTCCATTCTCCATCCCTATCATTAAGCCACCGGTAACTGTACTTAGCTTGATACACATATACATAGTGAAGTGATTACTATGGTCAAGGAAATTAACATGCCCATAATTTCATATAGTTACCTTTCCTTCTTTCTTTTTTTGTGGTAAGAGTACCTAAAATCTACTCTCTTGACAAAGTACCAGTAAACAATACAATGTTATTAACTATAGTCTTCATGTTGTACATTAGCTTTCTAGATACTCATTCTGCATAACTGCAACATTTGATCTATATTTTATCCCCAGCAGTTTAAAGCAAATCCCAGACATTATGTAATTCCCTTTGTAAATAGTATGTATCTGTAACTCATTAATAAAGATCCCCCCCCATGTCATTAACACAAAACAAAATGAGGATAATTTCCTAAGACTCATCAATACCCAGTCCATATGTAGATTTCTCCCATTAACACAGGTTTCATTATCTAAGGGATTCTTTTTTTTTTTTTTTTTTGGCACACTACATTTTTCAGGGATGTTGGATACATGGGACTTCACTATAATGCCATATTTTTATTTATTTCTTTGAAAATGCTATACTATTTATTTGGTCTTATTTCTGATCATTTAACTGATCAGACTGGCCCCATGGAGCCAGTCTGGAGGGCTGTACCTTAAAACTTTCTTTATTGCTTGTTTGTTTTACATAAAGGCCTTTTCAGGGATGCAGTGAACATTCAAATTCTGAGAGCTAGATTGTAAATGGTTTAGGTTACTCTGACCAATTCCTTTGATTTTGCTTCAGTGTTTTTTGCTCTTTTTATTTTTTTGTAGAGACAGGGTCTCACTCTATCGCCCAGGCTGGAATATAGTGACATGCTCATAGCTCACTGAAGCCTCCAGTCCTGGGCTCAAGTGATCCTCTTGCCTCAGCTTCCCAATGGCTAGGACTACGGGGGTACCCACAATTCTTGGCTAACTTTTAAATTTTTTGTAGCGATAGGGTGTAGCTATTGTCCAGCATAGTCTTGAACACCTGGCCTCAAGCAGTCCTCCTATCTTGGCCTCGCAAAGTGCTGAGATTACAGGTGTGAGCCAGTGCGTCTGGTCTTGCTTCAGTTTTTAGCTTCCAGTGTTTAGGTCATGTCCTCCTCAGCCTTTAAAAGCTGTTGCCGGCCAGGCGCGGTGGCTCACGCCTGTAATCCCAGCACTTTGGGAGGCGGAGGCGGGTGGATCACGAGGTCAAGAGATCGAGACCATCCTGGTCAACATGGTGAAACCCCGTCTCTACTGAAAATACAAAAAATCAGCTGAGCATGGTGGCGCGTGCCTGTAATCCCGGCTACTCGGGAGGCTGAGGCAGGAGAATTGCCTGAACCCAGGAGGCGGAGGTTGCAGTGAGCCAAGATTGTGCCATTGCACTCCAGCCTGGGTAACAAGAGCGAAACTCCGTCTCAAAAAAAAAAAAGCTGTTGCCTAGCATGCCTTCTTGGCATGGACCCAGCACAGTGTCCTTACTCAGATGCTTGTAGCGGTCCCTGCTGATCCTTCAGGGTTGGGCCTATGTTGTCTTTTTTTTTTTTTTTTTTTTTGAGGCTTTCCTAGATGACCTCAGCTTCTTTGGCTTCCTGTCCCTCTCCATTTTTTCTACCCCACACTCTAGCCTTTAATTATATGCTGTCTTTTTCTGTTGCTATAACTGAATACCCAAGACTCAGCAATTTATAAAGACAATTTATTTCTTACAGTTTTGGAAATTATGAAGTCCAGTGTCTTGAGGCTATATCTGGGAGGGCCTTCTTGCTGGTAGGGACTCTGTAGAGTCCCAGGGTGGCTTGGACTATCCTGAGCCTGGTACATGCTGCTAGTCCGTGCTGCTTGTACCTCCTAGAGTGCTGGGTTGAGCTGCACTTAGGGTTGCTTAGTGGTGGAGTGGCTGAGGAGTGCTGCATTGGGATGCAGAAAGCAGAGACCCAAGGGGGCCCTGGGCAGCAACCCCATGGAGGGTACCTGGGTCCTTCTCCTGAAACCATTCTGCCCTTCTAGAGCTCTGGACCCCAGTGATGGGAGGGACAGCCTCAAAGATCTCTGAAATGCCAGTTTTCTTTTTCTCATTCTCTTGATAATTTCATCTATCAATAGTAATCTCCTTAACAAATGATCACCTAGCCACAGCCTTGTTTCCTCTCCTGAACACAGTTTTCACTCTTTTTTTTTTTTTTTTAGATTTAAAACACTTTTAGATATTTTATTTTTGCTTGGGTTTAAAACATTTTTTTTTTTTTTTGAACATGGAATGCTTCATGAACTTGCATGTCATCCTTGCACAGGGACCATGCCAATCTTCTGTGTATTGGTCCAGTTTTAGTATATGTGCAGCTGAAGGAAGCACCTTTTTCACTCTATGTGATCAGAGTACTGAAGTCTTCCCATTCTGTTTTCCTTCTAATTATATACGTTTTGTCTCTAAGTCATTTCTTTGCTCTCACATCTCACTGGATGTGGTCAAAAATAACCATAACCGTGCAGTATCCTGAATGCTTTGCTGTTTAAATATTTCTTCTGCCAGATATCTTAGTTTATTGCTCTCAAGCTCTGCATTTCACAAAGACCTGGGGCATGGACACAATTTAGCCAAGCTTGTTGCTGCTTTGTGACAAGGATGGCCTTTACTCCAGTTTCCTATACTTTGTTCCTCATTTCTGTCTAAGGCATTGTCAGAATGGCCTTTACTGTTCAAATTTCTACCAACATTTTGGCCATGACCACTGAAGCAATCTTGAAGAAGATTCAGACTTTCCGCTAGCTCTTGTCTTCTGAGACCACATCAGAATCTCCCCTAATGCTCCACTTACAGCAATTATAGGCTTTTTCTAGCTTACTCCTTCGAACCCTTCTAGCCTCACTGCCCAGTTCCAAAGCCACTTCTACATTTTCAGCTGTTATAGCAGTGACCTCATTCTTGGTACCTATTTTCTGTCTTAGTCCATTTTCGGTTGCTATAACTGAATGCCACAGACTGGGTAACTTATAAAAAAGAAAAAGTTATTTCTCACAGTTCTGGAGGCTGTGAAGTCCAGAAGCATGATGCTGGCATCTGCTTGACTTCAAATGAGGGCCTTCTTCCTGCCTCATAACATAGCAGAAGGTATCACATAGCGAGAGGGCAAGAGTATGCATGTCAGCTCAAGTCTCTCCTCTTCTTCTCAAGCCCCCAGTTCTATCGTGGGAACCCCATTCCAGTGACCTCATCTCATCCTTATTTCCTCCCAAAGGCCCCACCTCCACTCCACATAAGAATTTGAGGATTAAGTTGCCAACACATAAAAGTTGGGGGACACATTCAAACTATAGCATATGCTAATTTTTTTTTTTTTGGATATGGAGTCTCTTATTGCCCAGGCTGGAGTGTAATGGCACGATCTCACCTCACGGTAACCTCTGCCTCTCGGGTTCCAGTGATTCTCCTGCCCCAGCCTCCCAAGTAGCTGGGATTATAGGCATGGGGTTTCATCATGTTGGCCAGGCTGGTCTCGAACTCCTGACCTCATGTGATTTGCCCGTCTTGGTCTCCCAAAGTGCTGGGATTACAGACGTGAGCCACCGTGCCCAGCCTGATCTTTACTGTTTATACTTCTCTTGCATGTAGACAAAATGAAACAGTAGAAAGGACAAGAACTTTGAAGCCAATGTAATCTAAATCCTTGAGTTTATATACTCATATTTTTAAAACCTTATGGATAAAAAACAAAACACATGAGATCTAACTCCTAACAAAATTTTAAGTGTACAGTATTGTTAACTTATAAAGCACAATGTTATGCAGCAGACTTCTAGAACGATTTTATCCTCTGTGAATGAAACTTTATATTCTTTAAACAACTCTCCCATTCTGCTCTACTTCTGTGAGTTTGACTATTTATTTTTGATGATTATTATTATTGAGACAGGGTCTTTCACTCTGTTGCCCAGTCTAGAGTATACTGGCTTGATTGTAGCTCACTATAACTTAAACTCCTGTGCTCAAGTGATTCTCCCAAGCAGCTGAGACTAAAGGCATGTGCTGCTATACATAGCTAATTTATAGATTTTTTTGTAGAGATGGAGATCTTGCTGTGTTGCCCAGGCTGGTCTCGAACTCATGTCCTCAAGTGATCCTCCCAAGTCAGCCTCCCAAAGTGCTGGGATTACACGTGTGAGTCACAGTGCCTGGCTGAGTTTGACTATTCTATATGCCTCATAAGAGTGGAATCATGTGCTATTTGTCCTTCTATGACTGTTTTATTTTTCTTGCATAATGTCTTCAAGGTTCATTCATATTGTAGCATGTACCAGGATTTCCTTTTCATGGCTGAATAATCCATTGTGTGTGTGTGTGTGTGTTGTGTGTGTATATATATATATATCACATTTTGTTTATCCATTCATCAGTAAGTGAATATTTAGGATGCTTCTACATTTTGGTTTTGTGAATGCTGCAGTGAACATAGGGAGTGCAAATAGCTTTTTAGGATCCTGACTTCAATTCTTTTGGATAAATACCCAGAAATGAGATTGTTGGATCATATGCCTCAGTTTTTTTATGAAGGTTTGTAACATGGAACATGTGCATTGTTCCATGTTATTCATGGCGTGCAGAGTGGGTTCTTTCCTGTCTCGGCACCTTCTCTTGAAATCAGGTGTCCATATAGTTTATTTTAACTGTGCTTTATCATAAGTACTTAGTATTTCTTGCTTAACTAATGTCCTATTATTATTTTTTAGAGATAGTCTTGCTCTGTCAATCAGGCTGGAGTGCAGTGGCACAATCATAGTTCACTGTAACCTTGGACTCCTGGGCTTAAGCAGTCCTCCCATGTTAGCCTCCTGAGTAGCTGAGACTATAGGTGCATGCCACCACACCCAGCTAATTTAAAAAATTTTGTGTAGAGATAAGGTGTTACTGTGTTGCCCAGGCTAGTTTTGAACTCCTAGTCTCAGGTGATCCTTCCTGCCTCAGCCTCCCAAGTAGCTAGGTCTGCACTTATGTGCCACCATGCCTGTGTTTTTAACATAGCGACACGGGGTCTTGCTGTGTTATCCAGGCTGGTCTTGAACTCCTGGCCTCAAGCAGTGATCTTGCTTTGACCTCCCAAAGTGCTGGGATTGTAGGTGTTAAGTCACTGTACCAGGCCTCTGTACTCTTTTTGATCATGTCTTCAATAACGTTGAGAATTATTTTGGAGAGAAGTCACCATTTCCCTGCAAAAACCGTTTTATTCACTGGTCACTCACAGCAGCTGTGTCACTGAGGAAGTGTTGACACTGCTTTTGGTTTTTAAGTGACTGTGTGTTTTTCCTTCCCAGGGGTGGGAAAAAAAATTGCAAGGTTGGAATTTTCTGGATTGTTAACAAGATCAAAAAGCAAAGATATGAAGCCAAGGGGAGAACGTCTTTCTACAAAATAGTAGTAGAAAGCAAAAAATGCTAGAATTTTGTTGAACTTGAGGTATTACAAAAATAACCTGACCAGAAAATGAAGGCTGCTGTTTTTTATGTTACTCTAAAGTGTAAGACAGTTTAACCACCTAGGATTTTTAAGTTGTCTGGATCTTTAAAGAATATTGATAAAAATGCAGATACACATTTAGCTTTGTTTTAGAAGATGACTTGATTTCCTAGGACAGAAGTTATCTCATAGTTGTAATTTCGGTAACCATGGGTGTTAGCCTTGAAGTGGTTGATAAGAAGCTCTCTGATTCTTCTCTACTCAGAGAAGGCACAGTTGCAGGCATTTCTCTGCTTTTCCTCAGTTTTCACCTTAAAACTAGTAAAGGAGGGTTCAGTGGCTTCAGCATCCCTAAAACCAACATTGGGGTGTTGAATTCTCCAGAAAGAGAGAGATCCTGTTTTCTCAGTTTGTTGTTGAGGCTTTGTTTTTTTGACATTTTTTGACAGCTAAGATCCAGATCTCGTGACTTGTGTTCTGGCCAGAGGACCCTCAGCTTTTTGTGATGAGTCATTTCCTCATGAGTCCTGAGGTACTGGGCCTGGAACCCCCAGCTCAGAGTTGAGGGCAGCAGATCCAGCCTCCGCAGCTGGGAGGGAGAGCACGTGTCAGGAGGAAAGGGCTGGTGGCTCAGGGTATATGAGTAGCCTGACACTGGCACCCATGTCCCCTGACCTGTTCTGGCCATTTGGATGCAGAATGACCTCGAGTCTCCTGGAAGATTGCTAAGAGCAAGGCAGCATGCAGCAGGCTATCCAGAGAGAATCTCAGGCTCCTTATCAGAGTTGAGCTAGAGGGTGGGTTAGGCCTGTGGAATGCAGGAACAAGAAGCCAAGTTATTAGATACAAGGTCAGGGCCTGCCATTAAGCAGCAAGAGCAACTTAGCCAGAGCTATTTAAATCTCTATCTTAGAAATTCCCGCTGGGTTGAGCCAGCAAGGGGAGTGTGGGGGCGAGGGTTAAGAGGCTTCAGCTGTGGGGAAAGAAGGGCTGTGGACATTAAAAACAACAGGCCAGGCCTGAATGTCCTGATAGCCTAGACCTAAATAGAGAGGTTTTTAGTGTCCTGGTAGCTCATTTTTAGCCTGCTTGCAAGTGAACAGATCTTAGGGATATATTCAGTGATGAGCTTGAAAACTGAGGATTAGTTATGTGAATCTGGAAGTGGATGTAGTTTTAAATTCAATTTAGACAAAACAAATTCCTCAATTTTTCTGAAGTGTAAATTATAACCCTTTATTACAGAACTGTCAGTTAAATTCAGGAAAGAATTTACATTCATGAAAAGCAAATTGGTGCTTTTGGGTGCTATAACTTATCAAGAAATAAATATATAAATCAGGAAGCTGAGCTTTGGAAAAAAGAAAGAAATACGAAATCACCCAATAATCCATTCTGAGTAGATGAATGATTAAAGATCTTTGAGGTTAGGTTGCTTTAGATCAAGGGAAAACTCACCCTAGCCTTTGTGGTTCACATAAGCACACATAACAGTGCAGAATTTATTCCTTGGCTCTGTTTGTCATACAGATTAAATTCCAAAGTCAACTGAAGCTTGGCTCTTTGCTCACAGAATCCTAACACTTAAACCAATTTTATCATCTTTAAAAAAGTTGGAAACTTAATACGTTTAGAGAGTATAGAAATGCTTAGGCTGTTTAAAAACACTCTCATTCAAATGCCTTGTTTCCTAAGGTCATATGGCCCTAGGTGTCTGGGCAGATTGAAGAAGCAGAGATTCATCAGGCTTCATTGGTGACTTAGGAGGAGGTAGGGGCATGTCATCAATTCAAAGGCGTAGTCCATCTGCTCAAAGAAGTTTATCATCTGGTGAGGAGCTTTACTCAAAGATACCATAAGAAAAGGTAGATGAGAATAAGGAATGGGAGAGTACTCAGATGGAA